AACTGGGTGGGAGTGGAGCAGCCAGGGCTGGATGAACCAGCACCCATAGAGATGCTGCTTCTGAAGGAGGAGGATTAGCTTGCAGTTCCACCATGCTGGCCCCATACTTGCTACACCTATTAATCTTATAGGAGTGTTGCTGAGTAACTAAGATAAATAACTGTCTTGGAGGAATCATTTCATGGCACAGATCTGTAGAAAAGGAAAAGACCAGAAGAGGAATAAAATAAAGTTTAACAATATGACAAAAAGATGTAAACAAAGTCAAATATTGGTTGGTAGAAGGAAAAGAAAATAGACACTCCTAAGAATCAGATGGATATATCTGTTTCAGAGGTCTGTATTATTACAACTTACTAATAACTTGAACTTTGTGAAGAAAACCTATTTCCATCAACAAGACAGTTTGTGATTAGGGTTTAGAAAAGGGTCATCAAGGTGATTTTGAAGTGCATCCTGGATGAAGGACTCTGGTTGAGAGGGCAGGCCAAGTTGCCACTTGAGTTGCCTGTTCCAGGGAAAAAGATAGCTACTATTTAGGGGACAGGGTTTTTAGAGGGGCTCAGCTTCAGGTTTTTCACATTAGCGGGTGGAATTAATCTACCGGCAGTTTTGCTAGTGAGGCAACAACAGCCTTTGTTTGTAGATATATGTGAGTGCAAAGCACATTACATTGTATAGCCCAGAAGTGACACTCATTAATTTAGAGTGATATTTTCAAGGAAATTACAATGATGTTGTAAAGAGAAGAAGCATTGTTTCTGTTATAGCTCAGAGCAGGTACAAGAGTTTGGTCTAGGAGTTAAGATTGCCACATTCCAAGAGTCTTTGGATTCAAGTACTGGCTCTGTTCCCAATTCCAACTTTTTACCAATATAAACTCTAAGAGGTAACAGGTAAGCTCTCAAGTAGTTGGGTCATTGCCATCCCAAAATTGAGCAACATAATAAAACAGATTTTTTTTCTTCAGAATAATTCATTAAGCAATCAACTATGTTGGGAAACCCTTATTTACATTAAAAGACTATACATGACCTTCATATAATGCTGATTGCAATCTACATTTTGCTCATTGATCTTCATTTCCTTTTTTCCTCATCAGAGCTTGTTAACATGTCCACAAAGCAGAATGCCCCTCACAGTGAGTAGGGCATGCAGGATCCTAGGTCCACACTCTAGCAAGGCTTCCCAGACTTCCTCCCACACACTCTGCCATCCCCTCTCCAGGTTGCTATGGACACAGCTGCCCAGACCACTTTCCCCTGAATCACGCTCTGAGCTCAGAGGCAGGCTGTTGCTTGGCAACCAAGGCCCAGAGCCAAAGATAGCCCCTGGATGGAACATTGAGTCCCAGGTAATGACAGTGTTATTGGCAAAGCTAATAGAAATCCTATCTGAAAAACACCCTCCAACGCAGCCCACCTCATCTTCCCTCAGTGAACCCCCACCATGTGGGCCCAGCCTACCCAGCTTATCCAGTTTCGGCTCCAATAGCCAAGCACTCTGTGGTCTGCACAAGCTACACCTTTGCCTCACATCTCCAGTTTGCAATCCTCCCAGGGCCTCAGGAACAGGAAGGGGTTCTGGACAAGGAATGTGTGATCCACTCACATAGGTAGCATTCCACCCTCAGGACCCCTGTGATAAGATGGTGTCAGCTCCTCCCTAGGCATCAGGCCTGCCTGCCTTCCTTCCTTCTTTTTGAAAAGGCAGCTTGAGTAACTCATGAGGAGCACACAGAGCTGGTGTTCATCAGGCCTGGGTTCTAGTGCCAGTTTATGAAAGCTTGAAAATGTTCTAAACTCCCCAGGTTGGGGCATGCACTGTGGCATGTGCTTATGCCAATGGTTGCGAGGCCCACATCCCCCATCATCGTGCCTGGGTCCAACTTTCTGCTAATGTGTGCCCTGGGAGGCAACAGGTCATGGATCAATGCATGAGTCTCTGTCATCTATATGGGAGAGCTGGGTGGAATTCTTGGAGGGTGGCTTCATCCTGGTCCAGACTGTTGTAGACATTTGGGGAGTATATCAGCAGATGGAAGATATTCTCTCCCTCTCTCCCTCTCTCCTTCTCTTTCTATCTTTCTCTCTCTCTCTTTCTCTCTTGCCTTCCTTTCCTATACCCCTCCCTCCAAATAAAAGAATTGAAAACAAATAAATATCTTTAAAGTAAAATATGTATGTCTCTCAAGCCAGCATATCAACTGATCAGAGTTGATGCCCCAGGGTCTCGGTTGCCAGTGTGTGTGGTTCTTGCTATAAGAGACACTAATATGCACTAAGCTGTCTCTGAAGCCCTGATTTTAGCTGGAATTAGCTGCTCCGTCACCTGTTAGTAAGGAATTGGGTAGGTTTGATTACCTGTCTTTTTCAATGGGGTCATTTCTTCCCCAAAATCACCTCCAAATCCAACCTCATTAATTCACACTGCTTACAAAGTCAAGAACCAGTTTCCAAGATAAACAAACAGGACACAGCCATGGCAATTGCTAAGCAGCATATTTATCACTGATTATCCCCATTTGGGACAATGATTTTCACTAACTATTTACATCAAATTCTCTTCCTCCTAGAGCTTTTGTAAGAGCTGATAGCTCCCCAGAATGCCCTCACTCTACTTCCTAGAAATCACACATCACCAGTTGCATAAATGCAAGATAAATATTTTATGGAGGGCCTGGTGCCGTGGCCTAGTGACTAAAGTCCTCGCCTTGAACATGCCGGCATCCCATATGGGAGCCAGTTCTAATCCCGACAGCTTCACTCCCCATCCAGCTCCCTGCTTGTGGCCTGGGAAAGCAGTCGAGGACAGCCCAAAGTCTTGGGACCCTGCACCCATGTGGGAGACCTGGAGGAAGTTCCTGGCTCCTAGCTTTGGATCAGTGCAGCACTGGCCGTTGCGGTCACTTGGGGAGTGAATGGTTGGAAGACAGATCTTCCTCTCTGCCTCTCCTCCTCTCTGTATATCTGACTTTGCAATAGAAATAAATAAATCTTTAAAAATATATATTTTATGCAGTAGGAGAAATAAAGGCAAAATCAGGAGCCTACATTGGGGCTGTCATCTCCAGTTCATAATTATTTTCTCTCTTTTCTTTTTAATAACAGGGCATACTATCATTTTGCCACGTCCTACAGTTGGGAACAAAATCATCCATCCATTTCCATTTTATTAGCTATTCTTGTCCTCTCACTTTTCCTACAAGTTTATATCACAGAAGCATGTTTTCCTTCTTAGCTCTTAAAATGCAAGACGCTATGTATAAACAAGAACTGTGTGTCTTTTAAAAGTAACAAGTTTGATGATTGATTATGGCATAAGCTTGACTCAATTAGTAAGTACCTAAAAACCTGGAGAATCAATATTTTGGATGTGTCTTGTGAGCACATTTCCAAATATGATTAGCATGTGAGTCTCCGCAAACTAGATGGAAAAACCTGGACTCATTTTGGACAGATATCATCAATGAGCTTGGGTTCTGGAGAAACGAAATGGGAAGGTTTAGGGTTCTCCTGGAAAGATGGGATATTTTTAATTCTCATTTCAGATATCAGCTGCTGCCCTTTGGATTCCAGGAGTACACGTGCAGTCCTATTGTTAGCACTCTCCTTTACAGCCCTGAACTGAGATTCTCATTGTCAAGTTGTCTAATATTGAAGTCCTCAGGATTGAACTATGTCATACTACTGGCAGCCCAAGTTCTGTAGCCTGCAAATGACTCATCATGGGACATCTCAGCTGTCATGATACTATGAGTCAAACCCCTTAGTAAATTCTCTCTTATATACGTATATGCATGTCCCACAAGCTCTGTGTCTCTAGACAACCTTAATTGATACATAACCACCTGAAAAGATTCTCCCAATTAGACAACGAGGAAAATTTCCCAATTGGGGAAAATCAGCCATCAGAATGGCAATAGAGACAAAATGTGTCAATCCTTGCTTCTAGTGGAATGTAGAGAAAACGTACTTTCACTTACATTCGAAATGTGTGACAGGCATAAGAACATCTGAAATTCATAATAGTATGCCTTACTGTCCCTTCCCCTTGCCTCAGGTGAGGTTTACAGTTTGGAAGCAGATGTCTGAAGCTAGTGTTCCTTTCATCCGTTATGAAAATATAAATTTACAGAAATGACTGGCTGCTTGTGCCTGGTAGAAAGGGGAAGGTGTCTAATAACAAAGGGATGAGAGAGGCTTGGAAATTTCTTCCAGACTGGCATGAACTCAAAGGTCTTAAAGTATCGGGCCCGGCATGATAGCCTAGTGGCTAAAGTCCTCGCCTTAAATGTGCCGGGATCCCATATGGGCGCTGGTTCTAATCCCGGTTGCCCTGCTTCCCATCCAGCTCCCTGCTTGTGACCTGGGAAAGCAGTCGAGGACAGCCCAAAGCCTTGGGATCCTGCACCCACGTGGGAGACCCAGACTAGCTCCTGGCTCCTGCCTTCAGATCAGCTCAGCTCTCACCGTTGTGGTCACTTGGGGATTGAATCATCAAATGGAAGATTTTCCCCTCTGTCTCTCCTTCTCTCTGTATATCTGCCTTTCTGATAAAAATAAATAAATCTTTAAAATATTGGAGAATGTAAAAATCAAGCGTATACCTACCATATGACCGAGCCATTCCGCTCATAGTTATCCAAGAGGAATGAAAACATATGGCTATAGAACCACTTGTAGGGGGAGCCCAGAACAATAGCCTAATGGCTAAACCATCGTCTTGCATGTGCCAGGATCCCATATGAATGCCGACTCGTATCCTGGCTGTTCCACTTCCTACCCAGCTCCCTGCTTGTGGCCATGGAAAGCAGTAGAGGACGGCCTGTGTGGGAGACCCAAAAGAAGCTCCTGGTTCCTGGGTTCAGATCAGCTTAGCTATGGTATTGTGGCCATTTGGGGAGTGAATCAGCAGATCAAAGATCTTCATCTCTGTCTCTCCTTCCCTCTGCCTTTCCAATAAAAATAAATCCTATAAAAGAAACACTTGTACACAAATGCTCACAGTATCTTTATTTGTAACAGCACAAAACTGAACAACTCAAATGTTCATCAACAAATGAAGGGATATATAAACTACAGAAAAACTACACAGAATATAACTTGTCAACAAGTTGCAATGGAATTTTGAGACACAAAATCTGAATATCACATAATTATGAATAAACTATGTGAGATCCTTGTCCCAAAGAGCACATGCAATATAACTTTACTTAGATAACTTACAAAAATAACAATGACTGCATATTTTCCATATGTTGTTAGAAAGAATTTCACTCGTTGTCTGGGAGTAAGGGACCAAAGAAGGGTAGAAGAGAAAGACTACAAAGAGGCATTCAGATGCCTCTCGATTGATATGTTCACTATTTAGACTGTTCATAATTTAATGAATACATATATGTCAAAACTTATCAAATTGTACACTTTATGCAGCCTAACATGTCAATAAATATTAATAGATGTATGACAATAAATACCAATAAAGCTAATAAAAAAGCACACTGTAGATTTACATAATACTAAATCAGAAAGATAACTGTTACAAGGAAAAGGCAAGTTGCAGAATCCTATACTCATTTTTGTAAAAGAATAAATTTGTACATATTAAATATCAAGAAAATATGAATGAAAAATTACAACACTATACACCAATTGTTAACATTACAAAAAGTATTGATTAAAATATATGTTGCAGAAGTGTATTTACTGCCATGGAAGGATGTTCACAAAATACAGTTGAGGGGTGATATAAAATTCAAACAGTATTTACAAATGATTTTGCTTTAGTTTCTTAGCTGTCCAAAAATCTCAAAGCATGTAACTTGACATTTTCACAGACTATTTTCAGCTTAGACAGGAATCTTAGAAAACTCAGCCATAACCCAAAGGTCCCGGGAATACTTTCCGGACTTTGATGCTTTCAGGAATCATAGTATTATAGGGTAAGACAGCACCCTCTCTCCTAGGTTTATATTCAGTTCTTGAAGCTACCATTCTGGGTTCAGATGTCTTAAGGTCATTCTACATAATTTTAGATGTTACAAGTGCAGAAATTGAGTTGCCTAATTGTAAAATACAGAGGCTTTTGGCCTTATGACACACAAGAGAGTAAATTACACATGGTAAAAGGAAATGAAGGTGTAATTTTTATGGAGGAAGAAGCCAATTACCTTTTAAAATGTAGGATAAAAAATAATGTATAGAATGATTCCAACTCTTTGAAAGATAAAGTAAATACGGGCAGAAAAAGGTAGGGGGGATATATTGTAAGTTTCACTTGCTGATGCCTGCAAAATGACATCTCATTAGTTCTGCCAAGTTTCCTACACCTACCATTTCCCAGACTCTGCCAGGTAAAATCCACACATTCATGTCAAGACTTATCTCCTGACCTCCAGCCAGATATAAACGCCTAAGAGATAATCCTTGGAGGCAGTTAATGGCAAAACTTAGCAGGGACATTATTCAACACAAAATTAAACCACTAAAACCAAAACCAAGTCTGATCTTTTGAAGGTGAATACCTAAGAGAATACTAAAAGCTACTGAAGTGAGATGGGTTCTGATGGCTAAGAAAGCAACTGTGTGCTGTGGGACTCAAGGAAAAACTATCCTCTCCATTCCTCACTGGAAGGTATTCTTCAAAATGAGTTTTGATAAAAATATGACACCTTAGCTCACAGAATCACTGCAATAGGGGATAAATTAGTATAGTACAACACAGTGTCTGGCAAAGTGCATACTAGAGAAATATTTTCTCCCTAAATCCATCTCCTGAAAAGTTCTGAAAAGTCATCTTCTACAGCAAGACTTTACTATGAATAACTATTTAAGTAAAGTTTTGGCAGTGAAAAAAAAAATAAACATTCTTTTTTGAGTTTCAGGGTAATTCCTGTGTTGTAAAATAAATATCTGATGCAGCTAAAATGGGGGAAAACTGTTCCTCTTTTAAGTGGTCTATAACAACCTCTGCCTCCTTTATGTATCAAGAGGACACATGCACCAACTAGAAAATGGATGCACACTCTAGGTACTGTTAGTTACTTGTCTATGTGTATATGCCTTGCTCCTCTAAGTAGAGAACAAAGTCAAAGATAATTTCTTTTTTGATAGTTGAAATCACAAATGGACCTATGTAGACACAAATGAACAAGGTAGCTTACACATGTGAACTGATTCACTATCTTAGGTAAAATGTTAACAATTTGCCAATTAGGACAAGACAAAGCTCAACAAACATCTTCAGCTCAAGATATAATATTCATTTGATAGTTCAAACCTAGAACCAGCCACGGGGAGCATCATGTTAAAGATGTAATGTATAATGTTCACACCGTAATGACCAAAACACTATACAAGGTCCTTTAGGAACGTACAGTGTGACACTTGGGAAACTGGGGTTCAAAGTGCTCTCTGTATTTCTTTCTGAGTTTACATTGCTTCAATAATTCCTTTAACTTCACGGAAAATATCTGTAAGTGTATTATAACTTAAGTGATCAACAACTACAATTGAGCCCTTCCTGATATGCTCCTTTATGTTAATAAATATGGCCACAGCAGTAACAAGATTGGCTTTTGCCTCATTCTGGTTAAAGATGAGTTTTAATGCTGTCAATGCCTGCACATTGATCATGTCTCTGGCTGCAGATGGATTTTCAGACATATTCAAAAGTAGTTTCAGAACAAGATTTCTGGTTTTACGATTTCCCTGGGAAAGTAAATTGAAAAGCTCTGAAAAGTAATTGGCAACAATATAGTGATGCACAGGCTCAGTAGTCAGTTGCCCCAGTATCTTTAAGCCAGACTGCTGCCCAGGTGAATTCAAGGGAAAAGCTACAGTTTCCTTACACATATGCTTAACATGTACTTCAACCTTGTGCTGTCTTTCATCCCCAGAAGGAGGATTCAGAGTAATTACAGTGTTTTTTCTCATGTCAGAGGAAGGAAAACTGAGCAAACTTTCAATAAGAGTCACTACACCCACCTCATTAATGAATTCTTGGGCAAAAGGATGAACCTTATGGATTCCCATTGCAATCTGCGCTATTTTATGAATGAGAGGATCAGTAGTTGACTTCAGTATGCTAACAAGCTTTTCAAATTCTTCAGAATTCATATAGCATTCCATTTTGCAATGGCAAGCAAATGGCTTAATGCCATTTACCTCTCTGATCTTGATTTGACGTCTTATCTCATCTATGGTCTGAATGCAAGGTTCAGAACCAAATGGGTACTCAGGGACACTTTGTGAGTTGAATCGAGCACTTCTAGAAGAGCTGGCTGTTGCAGCAGGCAAAGAATGGGTATTTTCCTCAGCTGAGGCCAGAACAACATATGAAGAACCCTTTGTTTCAGATGGAGCCTTGGATCTAAATCCTAACACTGCTGGAGTTACAGCAGGGGCTTTAGGCCAGATAGTGACCTCAGACCAGTCCTTGGGCCTGTTTTTTTCATTAATTTCATCCACAGGCTGGGGTTTAATTATCCGGCACACAGGTTTAGGATCAAGTTCAAAACTGTTATCATCTCCTTCCCAAAACCAGTTCCCAATAACAGTTTCTTCTTCTTCATCCTCAGTCCTTGATCCAAGCTTGCAGCTGGGCCCAGGCATTGACTCTGACTCTTTAGCATAGACCCGAGCACCAATATTAGCTTTCTTTTCACTCTTAGCTTTGGAACGATTGCCTGCCTCTTCTCCATTCCAGAACAAAGTGCTGATTCCATCCTCCTCCCCAGCCCAAAGCCAGGTATCAGTACCAGTCTCATTTTTATCTGTAGAGCGGATATTATCATATTTAGCCTTGGGACTATAATCTGTCCCTGCTTTGGCTGGACCACTGGCCCCTCCTTTGGCTGGACCACTGGCCCCTCCTTTGGCTGGACCACTGGCCCCTCCTTTGGTTGGACCACTGACCCCTCCTTTGGTTGGACCACTGGCCCCTCCTTTGGCTGGACCACCGGCCCCTCCTTTGGCTGGACCACCGGCCCCTGCTTTGGCTGAACCACTGGCCCCTCCTTTGGCTGGACCACTGGCCCCTGCTTTACCTCGACCACTGGCCCCTCCTTTTCCTGGGCCACTGGCCCCTCCTTTTCCTGAAGCACTAGCCCCTGCTTTTGCTGAACCACTGGCCCCTCCTTTGGTTGGACAATCTACCACTGCTTTGGCTGCAGCCTTGGGCTCTGACAGAGCTCCTTCCTTCATCTCAGCAGCAGCCCTGCTCTTAGATATTGCCTTCAACTCAGCCAATGTTTTAGAGCCTGCCTTGGCTTTTCCTTTGGCCCGACTTTTAGCTACTGGTATTCCCACACAAGCAGCTTCCTTCTCTGCTCGAGTTTTAGCCTGTGCACCAGCCTTTCTTTCATTTTTGGCTTGGGCTTTCATCTTTTTCTTACTCCCAGGCATGGTTGAAGCCCTGTGCAGTGTTGGCCTCAGCTATGTGTCTTAACACTCTTTAAGTCAAGGATAAATGTAGTAGCAAGGGTTATAGTTACTTGACAATTCAGCAGTCACACAGTCCCTTTTCTAAACATAAACTCTGTCAATGATACAGAGGTAAGGGGCACACTCAGGCAAGAAGAGGATGATGGTTTGTGAGCGCAGAGCTGCTGAAGTTGATGATCTTCAGCTTATCCAAAGCCAGTACAGCCACCAGTGGAGATGAACCTGAGGTAGAAGGAAAAAAAAAATGAGCTTTTAGTCTCCTCGAACTGTACATCTCTATGCTGACAACTAAACAGAGGTAAGAAAGAAGCAAACTGTTTGAAAGGAAAAATAGGCTAACAGAAAACTTAGCTACTTCGTTTTTATCCCTTCCATATTCCAAGTAATGCTCAACAATGCTCTCTCCAAGTACTATTTCTTTCTCTCCATCAAAAAGGAAAAACGAATATAAGCTTATTGAGTTGGGGAGGCTAAAAAAAATAATGCCCAGACCCTTCAGATTCATGATGGTACACATTGCTAAATCCTACACAGATAGGCCTCATACTAATCTACACTAACCTGGTGTAATTTTCTCCTCCTTCCATACTTTTAGTGTTGAAAAACCCTATAATCGACATATAGGCAGTCCTATGCGCAACAATATAGGAAAGATGAATCTCTTGAGTATTTGATTGTCTGATCTATATTGTCCAAATATTTGCTTTTCTAACTCTAGGGCTGTGGTTACCTAACACTTTTGCTCCCTTGGTCTTCTACAATTCCTACATCAATATTTATCAGTCACCATATAGGCACAACCCTAGACCTCCCTAGCCCCATGACCTATACACAAATGAAAGCAGAGGTGTCTATAAGATGGAACACAATGGCTCCAAGATATGATCTGATCTCTACCAGTTGCCAACAGCTGTGTCCTTATTCCTATCAACATGGAGGGCTCACATTTATACTCACCTTAGATCCAAATGAACAGCTTTGTTCTTTCTTGATCCACTTCCAAGAGAACAGCTAACTACAGATTCCTATGAGAACCTAGAAAGAACAAAGAAGCATGTAGACACAAAGACAGAAGACAGGAGTAAGAAATGGCCTAAAATCCACAAGGGTTGTAATATATGTTTGGTATATTCAATGCCATGTTAAATGCTTCTCCCTTCTCTTTTCATCACCAATAACTCCCCAGTCATTTCCCAACATCCTGAAGTCTGACTACAAATCCTTTCATGTCTAAAGTTTACTATTATCCTAGCATAAGGCAAATCGCTGTCTATAAAAAAACTAAGATGCAAGAACAAATGCTAGAATATAGCCACTGTATTTTAAAAGCCAGACATGGTAGAAAAGAGCTATCATTTCGATGTCATCTTCTGTTTCTTCCCCTTACATACATGAATCATACCTCATCACGTGTGTCAGCCTCCAATCCAGAAAGATCTCCTTTGCAGCAAAGAAATATCTTCTATCTAGAGAAGAATCATGTCCCATGAGGGAAAGAGCATTCAGCAAAAAGAGAGGAAATATGTTGGCAAAACTAGAAAACATCAGATTCATGGACAGATACCCAGATTAGAGGTTCTAACACCTTCCTATTAATCAAGGACTATATAAATAAATTCTAACAAGTCTTATAGCTACTCAGATATATGTGGACAAAAATATGCCCAAATCTTCTGTGGGATTGACTATAGTAAAGTGACAGGGGCTGTGAGGGGTGAGTAGAGACAGAATTTCAGTGTATAGAACCAGAAATTGAAGAAGCAAATTGAGTTCAAATATCTGGAAATGATTCTGTAGGAAGATTTTACCCTTTGCTCTGAACCTCCGTTCCCACACATCAATGCATACTACTTAAAACAGACTGGGGGTATTTAGAAAACAGATCCTAAAAAAATAATGGTGGGACCAATCATGTGAAATTCGACCAATTATTCATCTTCCCATTTGTTCGCATTAAATTGGGTGAAAAGACATTAATATGGGAGAGAACAGTGTTTTATTTAAGCCATTTAACATTTCATTTTAGTGTTTTACTCCAGCCCCATACAGTTCCAAGAGGATACGCCAGACCTGCCACACACACAGAATATTTTTACATCAACCCAATGTCTATAGAAACGGACAGCATCCATAACACGGGAGTTAACGGAACCCTTTCCATAATTACGGCGGGCGGTGGCAAAGACGAAACAAGCTCCAACCTGCTGAGCATGCCACTGAACTTAGACACCTGTTTGTGCCCCTCTCCCCAGGCTCTGCTCCGCCATTTTCCCAGCAGCTGACTAATCCATAGCCCTCTCCCGGAAAAGGAACCTTCGAGGGCTGGGCAGAAACCACTGGAAATCTGGCAGGCACGCTGTCCCTGCGGTTCAACTCCACACTACCTATGGGTGCCTGTCAGCAAACAACCTCTGCCTTTGCACGGTCCAACTCACGCAGGTGCCCACCTTCCACCCTGCAGTCAGCCACCGACCACGGGGGCCACCCCGCCGCCACCGAACCCCACTTGCCTGCACGGGCTCCAGGCCCGGGCTGCAGCCTGCCCTTCCTCCTGTTGCCGCTCCTCTCTCTCCTGGTCTTCCCAGTTTCCCGTGCCACCACCAGAGTAGAGACGCCAGCGCCCCCCGCGCCTCTGCACCAAACCAGCCGGGGGCTGCGCAGGCTGCGGCAGGAGCCCGGCGCCGCGCGAGCCTGTCGGGAAGAGGGCGGAGGGATATGTCGCCAGCAGCTCGACGCCCCCTCCCAGGCCCACCGTAGTTCCGACCCTGCGCTGGGCGGGGCCAGCACGAGCGCCAGCCTCGGGGCCGGACGGCACGGGGGGCGCCCACGGCCCGAGACCCCCGCGCGCCCACCTGGCGACCACCACCCCGCGCGAGCAGCCAGGGGCTCGGGGCGGGCGGCTGTACGGGAGCGGGGCCGCGCTGGCTGCGGGGGTCGGCGGAGCCGCGTCCCCCACAGCAGCGGAGGGATACAGCCCGCCGCGGGGCGCCTCTGCACCTCAGGCCTGAGCGCCTGCCCCGCCGCCCCCTCCCTGGACACTGCTGGTGGACGGAGGGGCTGCCAGTCAGCGCTGAGGTCGGGGCGGGCCGAGGCCCTGGCGGGGGTCCCGCCCTCTCTTGGATGCCTTCAGGAGCCAGGCCAGGGAGGAAGGCACTTTGGCGCCCAAGAGAACACGGCTGGGGGGCCCGCACAGAGCCCTCAGCCTTGCCTGAGTCTCACACAAGGCCCACCTGTCCCTCCAGCCCTAGCAAGCAAACCCTGGTCCGTGCCCCGAGTTGGCCTTTGGGCCAGACTGCCTTTGCTCGTTCTGTGATGCCAACTCGGTCATTGTGTAATGTCCACACTCGCCCAAGAAAGAGGACGCTCCCCTGTCAGGACCCACAGGTGCCCACAGAGTCACCCTCTCTGTTGTTGCCCAGTGGCCACGTGGCAGGCCCCGGGCACAGCATGCCCTGGGCACAGCACGCCCTGGGTCTCCTTCCACTTTTAATATTAACAATCGTGACCACTACCCATGCACATGCAAAGGACAGGTCTTACCTGATCTACTAGCTCCCACTTTTCTCCCAGTGCTGCATCCTGTCTAATATATTATACTCTTTTCTCCCTGGGTATGTCACATGTGTGATGCTTCTAAGTGGTGTGTTTGTTTACATTAAAGTGTAAATTCATGAGACAAGGTATTCTTTGAGGTTTGTTCCCATTTGTATCCTTAGATCATAGTAGACGACATAGTCAACAGAAGTATTGTGGGGGCCACTGAGCCAGAGAACCCTACAGTGTCCTGTATCGGTTTTAGATGATTGCTCATGTATGAATGTGTTTCTGATTGTCTAACCCCAGGGTTTAGCCCAGAGTGCCATGCAGGAGTTGCTCTCCATCCTGAGTACTTAAAAAGTTCATCGAAACCGAGTATGATGAGAAAAAAATGCATGGGTTTCCAATTTATTTTGCACACACAAAAAACCCTTTCAATTCCATTTCTATGAACTTTTTGAAGTCACCTTGTTAGGTTTTTTGTTTGTTTGTTTTGTTTGCTTGCTTGCTTGTTTTTGCCACAAACGGAAGACACCAGAGGCAGGGATTCAAACAGGAGATCTTTAGTCCGGGGGAGTGGTGGCCGCGGGAAGAGACAGAGCAGGGAGCTGAGACAGGAGAAAAGAGAGAGAACAAAGGAGGTGGGAAAGTAAAGAGCAGAGGGAGATAGCAGCGAGAATGCAGAACAAAGGCACAGCACCTTTATAGCATCAAGGTGGGTTTTGGGAGTGGGGCCCACGGGATTGGCAGATGTGTAAGTCCATATCAGAGATAAAGGCAGGGTTGGTGGAAGGGCCCATTAGGTACAGTGTATTTAAGTCCAGCTGACTGGCATAGCATGTAAAGCTTACAAAATTGGGCTGTAATGAGACCAGGACCTACAGAAAGCAGGTATTTAAGATGGCACCGAGTCTATAATGGCAGGTATCATTCAGGGCCAACACTTCTGTCAATCCTTACACCCCTCATTTGGTTTCTCAATTTAAAAAGGCAAAGATCAATACAGAGGTAATGAAACAACTCGTAGAGCACAAACATATTAGTTAGGGTTGGTTGGGAATCAGCACAAGGCTGCTAAGTCTGTATCGTGAAACACATCAAATCGATTCACTTTACACAAATTTTAAAAGCTAAAAATATCAGAAACACTCAGTGGTGATATTTCCAATTTTATAATATAGGATACATAGAAGCAGAAAAAAATTCATGATACCTTCATCTAGTCGTTTGTAGTCACTTTGGGGCCATTCTTCAGTCTGACACACCAGTATATTCACGTGACTCAGAAGATACTATTCACATGGGTTAGGGATCCCTTTTTTGAAATGCTTGCAACCAGATGTGCTTCTGATTTCTAAGTTTTGTGGATTAAAACAAACCTGGTACATCTATTTTATAAAATGCTATTCTATACTACTAAAAAGAGCAAAGCAGCTATCTACATACCAAAATATAAACAAAATAACTCCAAACGTGTAGCTCAATCTAAATGGAAATTGTAGAAACATATATATAGCCCTTTCACGCAAGTGTGCTAGATACACACACAATTACACACACAGTGGCCTTCAAAGAGTTCACAGAAAATGCATAAAATGGGAAATAAAACTATGCATGAATGTCAAAATAGTTTTGCATTCAAACTTACATTTAAATTATTTTTATCCAAATGGCAGAAACAAAGATCTGGGCCTGGCGCTGTAGCCTAAGGATTAAAGTCCTTGCCTCGAAAGCGCCTGGATCCCATATGGGCACCGGTTTGTGTCCCAGAGGTCCTACTTCCCATCCAACTCCCTGCTTGCGGCCTACAAAAGCAGCTGAGGACAGCCCAAAGCTTTGGGAACCTGTGCCCACATGGGAAACCCAGAAGAAGCTGCTGACTCCTGGCTTTGGATCAGCTCAGTTCTGGCCTATGCAGCCACTTGAGGAGTAAATCAGCAGACAGAAGATCTTCCTCTCTGTTCTCCTCTCTGCATGTCTGACTTTCCAATAAAAAAAATAAATCTTTAAAAAAAACCAACAACAACACAAAGATCTTCCATCCACTAAATCACTCACCGAATTCCTGCAACTGCCAGAGCTGGACCAGGCCAGAGCCAGGGACTAGGTCATCTCCCATGTAATTGGCATATACCCAAGCATGTGAGCCATCACCTGACACCACTTAGAGTCTGGAGTAGCAGGATGCTGTAATCACAAGTAGAGCCATATCTGAGTTAAACCCAGGTACTCCACCATGGGATGTGAATGTCCCACATGGTGTCTTTTTTTTTTAAGCTTTATATTTACTTTTATTGAAAGGGCAGAAACACATAGAGGAGGAGATACAGAGAGGAAGATCTTCCGTCTGATGATCTTCCGTCTGATGATTCACTCCCCAAGCGGCCGCAATGGCTGGTGCTGAGCCAATCCAAAGCCAGGAGCTTCTTCTGGGTCTCCCACATAGGTGCAGGGTCCCAAGGCTTTCCCAGGCCGTCCTCCACTACTTTCCCTGGCCACAGGCAAGGAGCTGGATGGGAAGTGGAGCCGCCGGGATTAGAACTGACACCCATATGGGATCCCAGTGCATTCAAGGCGAGGACTTTAACCACTACACCATCACGCCTTGCCCCCACATGGTGTCTTAACCACTGTGACAAATGCCTACCCTGGAATGAACTAATGTAAATTCCACTTTTCCATTAGTTTTTGATGTTCCCCTGCATTTCTGCTTGCATTGCCCATCCACTCATACATGGTGTCCAGTTTAGGTATCAGAACCATTAACATGCTATTTAGGTATTTTAAATCCCTTGACTGGTAATCAACACCTGCATTACATTTGAATTTAATTCTGTTGCTTGCTTTGCATCTTCAGAATGTTCTTTTTCTTATCTTTTGCCGTGTCTTATAATTGGTGTTGGACATAATGTATTTGATAATAGAAACATAGACCTTTAATGAGAAGATTCATATTAACCTGGTTAGGAAGTGGATCTTTTAATGTTTACTGTACTGTATGTGCCAGAGACATAAAATGCCTCTATTGTCCTTCTTTTTGTTCTTTTTCTCTTATTTTTGGCTTCACTAAATATTTCTCCCAGAAACTGCACTTGCTAGCTTCTTTATGTACCCATTGTTACTATAGTAGAGTCTTGTTATTAAAGTGGTAAAGGTGGAAAACTTATTAAATTCCAGTCTTTTGTGGGCTTGTGTCCCAGGACTGTGATCTTCAAATCCTTTTTGGCTGTTGTTATCTCTATTGTTTAGATGTTGTTTTTTTTTGTTTGTTTGTTTTTAGCTGGGATAAGGTTCAGGTCAAGTCTTTTCCACTGGGAGGAAAACACCTGTTACAAAGAAGACCTAG